ATTTGTTTTTTTTTTTTTGCAATTTCAATATTTTATTTAAGCAAGCCCTTATTCGAAAACCAAACTTATTTACTGTAAACACAAAATGTTACACACTTGTTTTGAAGTTTAAATAGTGCGGATGTACACTAGAAAGTTATCTGAAGTGCACTGCTGAAGATGAACACCGTTGCAAACACGCCTCTCTTACCTGGAAGAAGATGCTGCCACTGCTGCTGTCTCCCTCAGCTTTTAGAGGCTTCTGGCCGCTGCTCTGCTGCTGCTGCTGGGGACTCTGCTCCAGCGCGTTCTGCAGATCCAGGATATAATCGATCACATGCTGCAGGATCTCCATCTTACTAACGCTCTGGTTCCGCGGTAAACTGGGCACCAGATCTTTGAGCCGGCTGTAGCAGTCGTTCATGTTGTAAAGTAGACTCAGGGGGTCGTCCGAGCTGCTCTTGCTCCGCGAGATGCCGAGGTTATGCTCCGAAAAACACAAGGCAGATTTCCTGATGGACCTCACCGGACTCATTGCCTTCATAGTTGATTCCACTGCTATTATCGACTTCTGGGCATCCGACTCTCCCTCAAATCTGACCGCGAGCTGCTTGGAATTTTGTTTTCGCTGCGTTTATAAAGCAGGCGCAAAGGGTTTTGTGTAAGGTATAAAGAATGAAGCTGATTGGAGGATACAGACGACGTCACTCAGTGTGCATCACGTGACCAGCTCACCACCGCTGGATTGTTTGCTTTCGATTGAAATTTCGTTAACATTTTTGCGTAAACATTACACATTTATTAATATTCGTTATTAATCGACAGCTAGGTCCACGTCGAAGAACGTATGAGTAACTAAATAAAGGTGTTTGTAATCACTGTCGAATTTTTTTCTATCGAATTTTAACCAATCGCCTGCCAACAACAAAACTAAAGGAACATTTACTCTTTTTGCATTGAGTCTCAGTCACCTCCCAACTTTCATTTGTTCAGATCATTTGGGTTGTATGCTTTGCAGTTAAACCAAAGAAAGAACCAAAGAAAGTCAATTGGTACAACTTTGGTACAAACATAATGAAGAGGAAAAACAACAAAACTGCTAACATTTGATGTTGGCTTGTATTAACGTCGTTGTTGGCAATGTCACCATGAGTACTAGAAAACCAAACCCCATGTCTCTATGATTTGCCTTAGCTGAGATAAAGATAAGCCAAAGTGGCTGCTATTGTCAACAGCTTAGTTTCTATGAAGGATCAGTGACAATATGTTTGCTGTGTCCATATGAGTGCAAAAAACAACTTCCATGTCTATGATTTTTCCAAAGCTCAGATAGACAGGCCAAATTGTGTTGCTATGGTAAACAGTATGGTTGTTAGGAAGGGGTCAGTGACATAACATAATGTTTCTTCTTCACTCTAGGTAATTTAAATCAACCCCCAAATCTCTATGATAAACCAAGGCTGAGATATAGTTCTATAAATTTGGTTGCTAGGGAGTTGTCTGTCATAAAAAATTAAGTTGTTATCATAAACATGTTTCACTTTGAAGAAATTTTTGATTTTTGAATCATTTTCCAATTCATTCTAGATGGCCAAGTCAATAGAACACTGCAAACAAAGTTCTATCTTGACCAACTGAAATTACAAACTAGGTCCTGGTCAAGTGTGATACTTCGTGATGTCCTTATAAAGGAGAATCAGCAGGTATGAAGCCCCTGAGTCAAATAACCGGTATATTTAACATTATTATATTTACTTTTAACCGTCATCCTTTCAATAAATAAGTGTTGTGAACTTATGCATGTTTGCATGTGTTATTTTTGGGACACACCATTATTGTAACTGGCAAAGTTTTGAAAATGGAAGAGTTAGTGGTTTATTATGTGAAGGAAGAGTCTGTCGGACATCATGAATTACTGGTATCTTAAAATGACACAGCAGGGAGTCTTTTTTGACCTTTCCTTCTGAGACCGTCAGTGGTGCAAGCACAAAGGAATGTGTCTAACTTTACATGATAGAATGGCATCCCTCGGAGCATCACACACAACTGACAGCTAGCCTTTCAGACTCCCCCTTTGCCCAGTACTGAGATACACAAGCCAAACAGAGTAGGGTTTCAGGATAATGTTCTTTTCTCAGCTGTTTTATGGAATTTGAGCAGAAGAACATATTTTCTCAATCCAGAGTGCTCCTGAAGTCATGCCAATATTCTGAGAAACATTCATTTCCCATCACTTTACAGTGGAGCCTCTCTTTGCCTATGTTCATCATGGGTTAAGGGAAGATGCAAGTAAGCACGGAGTAGGTTTTTTTAGCTATTCTATTTTACAAATTATACTGCAATTTTTTTCACATAATATGTGAAATAATACCAGTTCTTATTAGCAGATGCCCATTTAAAAGTTAAAGTAAACCATACAGCAGAAAAAAATACAGGTTAGATTCCTGTTAAAAATGTGTTGCTCATCTCTACGAAGAGCTAACACACAGACCCGGAAGATGTCACTACTGTAACTGTGCTTCATATTGAGTAATCAAAAGCTCACATATTTGGGTGGCGATTTCATGTTTTTTTTTAGGTTTTTATATTTACCCCAGTTGAAGTTTCTGAGGTCTGATTTCACATTGTCGGATGCACGGATCTTCATGCCATGATCCTGCCTGAAAAATTTGGGAATGGCAGATCAATGGGCACTGGAGGGATAAAACAAACATTTTGAGGAGAGCAAATAAAAGGTTGTTAAAAAAGCTGTTTTCAGTAAATATTGCATCTTTTTAAAAGTCAGAGCACACCTGTAGGAACTATAAATAGATGTCTGAAGCAGGTAGAGATAAGTGCCTGCAAATTTCAGTAGGGAATTATCATCCTGGCTCCTCCTTAATTTCATCATCAAAACACCAATGAAAGATTTTGAGCAAGGTATAATATAGCCCCTTTAAGTTATATTGAAAGCCACTAAGGTATCTTTGCTACATCCAGGTCTCACCTCTCTGCACTTGTTGCTCAGTTCCGAAACTCCTCCCAAACCCCTCACCAGAAACCTAAGGGTATCGTCACAGACGCTACTTAAATAGTTTGTCACAGTTTATGATTTTACCACTAGAGGTCGTTCTTCAAACAAAAGCAAACCTTGTTTACATTAATTTAACGAACGTATGAATATAAAAACTATGAATTTATATCGGTTTTATGAATTTAAAATGGTAATCGCTCTGTGCCAAAAGATTCTAATTAGGAAAACCAGAATATTTAACAGTTTGACACTTATTTGGTTGTTCTTTTCGGCATCCATCCGAATGTACGGATGCCCTCGAGTGCAGTGCTTAGATGCCCTTTTCATTGGAGTCTGAGAGATGCCTCCGGCATGACTTCACAGCACAGGTGCTGTTTGCCCTTCTGCACCACAACTGTTCAGAAACATCAAAGCTGGGAATCAGAAAGTTCATGGAAGTAGAGCTTTAGACACTACATCTCAACTGACCTCAGAGCTGTTTTGGGTAGGCTTGCTCTTGAAACACACAAGTCTTGTGAAGAAAAAAAAAAGAGTGCAGAGTTCACTCAAAAAGACTCGTGTGGAAATATACTTTCACACTTTTGAGGAGAGCTCTCACCCGAGTGTAAGCAAAGAATGCAGGAGGAAGCTAATGTATGTGTGGCTTTCATCACGGAAGATGCCTTGAACCATGCCTACAAGTCTTTTTCTATATGAGGGAGCGGTGTGGACCTCAAATAAATGTGGACAACTCCAGGGAATGTACTTAAAAGCCTCAGATTAGATTATAACTCACGATTTCCTCAACAGAATAAGAGCGTGGTAAATATAGACTCACTCACTCAGGTTCTAGATAGAATGATTGATGCTAACAACTAAAAGTGAAGGTTACCCTAAACAGTGCTGAACCTAAACTCTGCAGGTGCTCCGCAAATTCACCATTTGAACCAAGCTCTCTGACCATGTCAACAGATATACCCCAACCCAGAGAGATCAACATCTCACCACACAAACCCTCTAAAGCAGAACCGCCACATAACAGCCAGACTTCAGGTAGCTTCCACAGCTGTAGACTTTGATCGTCTTTGAACACCAGTCCCTCAGACAGTGCATGCTCTCGGCTGGGTCATTAAGTTTTCTCCCCAGTGCTCAGCTGAGTGTGGTAGGTTGAGTGTCCAGGTGGGGAGCCCATATGTGGATGTCACGGGGAGAGAGCTTGGCTGAGGGGGTGCTGCTTCTGGTTGTAGATGGGGAGGGCATTGCCCACAGGGAGAACACCTGCTTACCCTACCCCAACCTCACAGCACACACCCCCTCCTACCCCACTGCCCCAGCTGCATGCTGTGGGCATCTGCCCACCTCTGGGTAATGGAGCTGTCACTCTTGCTGGCTGCTCACCACAATGGCTTGACCTAATTTATCTGTACTGTCTTCCACTCACCAGTATGTCCACTGCGAGTCTGAGCCTTTCATCAGTCTTCAGTTCTGCACGCTCTAGGATCACCTGCTTTGTCCTTTACTGAGGTGAGGGGAAGTTTCAGGAACACTTTACTGGAATAATTGGGAATAACAGCTCAACTTTAATGATCGAAAGAATCATTTGGTCATGTATATTAAACATTTACTAGGTGTTTTTTGTCAAAGTGCGTATATGATTGAATCTTGTCTTACCAGATTTGGCAGGATTTGATGTTCATTTGATGTTCATTAATTAGTTTCTGCAACATGCATTCGTTTTAATTTAACTGCAGTTGTGATTTTTGTACATGCTCTACCTTTTTTTTTTAGAAAAGTAAAAAGTAGTTCAGACAGTGAAAGTGACATTAGGACCAAGTATGGAGTGAGCCATACAAGGAATTTGTGCTATGCATCTACCCCTTCCAAGTGCACACACACAGCAGTGAATAAACACCCCGTGAACACACTCCATGGCTGCGGCGCCCGAGGAGCTGTAGTAACTTGTGACTTGCACCACAGTAATGGTTGTCACAGGATGGAGAGAGTTTCAACACTCATCCCACCTTCGACTCCCAGTGGAGCTGGGGATCGAACCGGCGCCTTTTGATCAGGCGTCAGTCAATCACCTTATCCACTAGGCCACGACTGCCACAAACATCAGACAGGAAGTGCATAACATTGGAGTGATCCAGGGCGATTAAAGACCAGTCAATTGGCCAAAACGTGAAAAAGGTTTATAAAAAAAATGTGCTTTGGTCCCCAGGTTGGTGCGGTCACAAAACGTAGATTTTGGTTCCATTCTGAATATTTCCACACCACTAGGGGCATTGTTCTGAGTTTTCATGAGAAAAAAATAAGGATCTTGGGGTTCACCATAGACTATTAAACTGGAAGTTTTGTGATCTATGTGTCTAAAGAAAGTGGAGTTAGTCGTTTCATTCTTGACCGGGCAACACCGTCAAAAAGGTGACAAAAACCCAAATCCAATACTCAATCCAATAGGTTAAGTATTGCATGAATGAAAGACATAAATGGAGTGCCGGTGGTGGACTGTTAATAGAGGGCTCTAGGCTGCTGCCCCACCATTCACTATGCATAAAAACACTATGCATAAAATAAAAGAAAATATTTTGGAAAATAATCATATATTTTTAAGTATGCAACGCAAAATTAGTTATTATAATTCGAGTTGACTATAGCTTGTATAGTATATAAAGGAAAGTTCTTGAATAAGCTCACTGACTTGCGGATTAACCAGGATTAACATACAGATTGCCATTTTGTTGACTCACTGCTAGTGCTGTGCCAGTCATAGGTGAATTTTGTGGTGAGAAAATAAGAAAATTGACAGAGGGGGCACCAAACAGTGCATTTAAATCACTTAAATTAGCACTTGATTTAAAGGAGCTCGGGCTGGATCATCCCACACCAAGTATTAGGTTCAAAAGAGGGAGGGAGAAAATATACTCTGTCATCTTTCAGAATCTTGTTTGAAAATAAGACTTGGCTAACTTTACATTTTTTTAAAAAACAACAGGATCAAACACAACAAGGACTTAGACCAGACCAGAACTTTTGAGGAAACAAATGTACTCTCAAGAACAGAATGGCAAAATTCTGCATGAAAGGTAAAAAACTAAATTTGAAGTTCTTTATAAATAAGAATGTTGATGTTTAATTAAATTAAAGTGACTTTAATCGTTAATATTTTGTCAACTTTTTCCAGATTAGTGATGCCCAGCTGTCACTGCAGAGTACATATCTGCTCTCTTTTGGTATCAGCCTCAAGTGGCCAGTCGGTGAACTGCAGTTTTAGTCAGTTCTGTAGAAGCGTCTTTGTGCCTCAATTTCTTCCATCTTGATTCTAGCAGTAATAATAATGCTGTTAATAAAGCGCTCTGTAATTGCGACCACTAAACAGCCCCTATTCGACTAGATTTTGCCTGTTGCCTCTTATTTTACAAGCACAACATGTTAGAACTTGCCTACATTTCCACTAGCATGGTTTGTGGAACTGAACTGGCCGATATGGGTCACTTTTATGCCTGATCTTGCACCTGAGAGTAATACAATGTTCAACCGCAGGCTGAAAGTTGACATTAGCCCAAAACATATTTTAAAACTGCCCTACTCACCATAACCCCCTTCTGCTCCCTGTCTCCTTGCACACACATTCACACACCTTTATTCTCCTCCACATTTACAGCAGAGGTCATCTAACAGATGGGCACCAACCTTGAATTGTAACTCTCGCGGTTTAGAAGGGTGTACTCTGCATGATTCTTAAGCGCTCTCTGATGTCACTCGAACACTGTTCACACATCAACGCGACTCATTAGATTGGTGCAACATTCCAGCGATAAGGCCGCACGTGGAAATCTGTTAATAAAAAGGAAAGGGGTGCAGCTGGACCAGGCTCTTCAGCTGGGTGTAAATGAAATGTAATAAATTGTGCCGTCAGTGGTGTACGGGTAAAACAATACAAGGAGAGATAGTTGCAGAGTAAGGAAGTTAATGTTAAACTGTGAGTAATGTGGCATCCCTTTGACAAATCATCAGGAGTAGGCAATCCAGCTTCCAATTTGGGCCTCAGTGTATGAGAAAGTAGAAACCGGAGCGCGTTTATTGTTGGGAATACCAAAAACATGCTTCAAGTTATAGTTAATTGTTCTCCTAAGGCCTCTATACATTGATCCGAATTTTCAGTCCTACGTAAAAGAGCCGCTCATCCCACACATTCAGACGGTGTGGCTGAAACTGCAGTGTGACATCATCAAATGAAAGGCTGACAAATACCACACAAGACATGGATATTGGTAATATTTTCTCATAACAATAGAAGCGCGTCTCACTAAAGAACTTTTAATTGCATGCTAAGCTATTCTTACACATTTTAGACGTCACTTCCAGTGCGTTTTATTGCGAGATCGGTATTTATTTCATAGGCACTTATCATCCAGAGGTTTATTTGACAGTCTTTTTATGTTTAATATACATCATGTATTATTTCGTTTTAAATTATTCACATAAATATGCGCAGAAAATAGTTTATTTGTATTTTTGAATCTACAAGGTGAATTTGTGACGGACTCAGGTGTATATTCTGAATAGCCAGAAAGAAATTTGTCATTCAATCTTTTAATATAATTCTAATGCAACATAAATGTTGAACAGTAGGTTTATAAGGTTTTATATAGCCATTATATTTTCAATTACTTTCCATCATTTCTGTTTGATGAGGTGTCATTTTTGAGATTTACACTGACAAGAGGTGAAATTCTGCACCTCTAATACGCCATTGTCATTACTGGTTAATGGTCTTGCGCTGACGGTGAATGGCCAAGCTTCTCGCTTCCTGAGTAAGTGCCATCAGAAGCCATCTGCGAGCTTCCTCCATCCTTATGCCATCAAGAGACAGTCATAGAGCTGCAAAAAGGAGAGCAGACTGACATCCACATTTACCGCCAGATTATATCAAAGGCAGTGTGCTTGAGTAAAAATATATAAGTACTATACATATATATATATACAGGCTAAAAAAATCCTTTCTATTGCTATTGGAGGAACATAGCAGGCATTAGATTAGATGTACATATCTACCTATCTACCTATCTATCTACCTATCTACCTATCTATCTATCTACCTATCTATCTATCTATCTATCTATCTATCTATCTATCTATCTATCTATCTATCTATCTATCTATCTATCTATCTATCTATCTACTATCTATCTATCTATATCTATCTATATCTATCTACCTTATACACTATCTATCTATCTATCTATCTATCTATCTATCTATCTATCTATCTATCTATCTATCTATCTATCTACCTATCTACCTATCTATCTATCTATCTATCTATCACCCTATTATACAATACACTCTGGCTTTCTGTAAATTTTAGGGTTTTTTGGGGCAAATAATGCAAACTATGGCATAAAACTATTGGTTGAGTCAGAAATTATTCCAAGATTTGTCGACACCTACGGACATGATTGTGCCCATCTGTTACCACAGCAACAGTGTCGTTTTTGATCGCTCAAAAGGCTCATTATTAATATCAAATCAAAGCCAACTCTTACATAAACTCTCTTGTAAACCTATCCATAAGTTACCCCAGCTCCTTTGCCCCAGCAAATCACAATAATAGCTCCAATTTCAACCAATTCTCCGCCATTTCCTCATTTGCTTGGAGGCGGGTGTAGCAGTGTTTGTAGGTGGACTGAGGTTTTCTTTTTTTGCAACGAGGTACAAATGTTACACCAAAATTTGGATTGTTTAATTTATTAAACGTATTTTGGGAGACATAATTAGGACATTTATTTAATTAAACCATTACTACCCCAAAAAGCATTGGTTTCTATGACGGCTATTATGTTTTTGCTTTAAACGTGTTGAAACTGTGGACTAAGATACTAAGAAGGACTATACATTTTGTAAGAATCTGTGACAATGTATAAAGTAAATCGATTGTTAGCTAAGACGCAGGATAAGCTGAGCAGATCTAGCTGACTGCAAAGACGAACGGAGTGCTTATCTCAATCTGTTTTTATTTCCAGGGTGATTTGGTCTCCACCCTGGAATCTAGTGTTCATTTCCCTAGGCAAGGACATCCGCGAATGTGTGCAGAAGGCATTGAGAGAGATAATCTAATCTGCCACTGAGCACAAGAAGGGAGGTCCCGTCACAAACTGTTTGCTCAACTTTGGCCACACTCTCACAGATATTGTTGGAGTGTTTAACACATAGAGTAGATGCTAGCGAGTGACTATCATTTTATAACATAAAAACAATCAGAGTCTCCCACCTCGCTCTCATCGAGGTCTTTTCCTCCCTTAAGAGCCGATTAAACTCTCGTCCGCTGTCTGCTTATCATCACAGACTCTCACACATTCCTCAGAATTGGATGTCGAAAAGCGCCTGCACATGGCTCTTATCAGTATCTGAAAGGGAATTAACAAAGAGAGGAAATGGCCAGTTAGGATTAGCATTCCTGTGATGCTAAGGAGCGATTTTTTTCTGCAGATTTGTAGTGGACTTTGGGACTTATGCGCTAATTAGTATGATTTCCTCTAGAGAGCATTTCCACTCATTCGCCATCTCTGTTGAAATGGTGAAAAAACTGATTTGCTCTTAAAGAAAAGCCCCATATTTTTATAACTGAGCATAGGCCATTGAATTTGATGAGTTCAGAGTTTCAACATAGGAACTTTGCTGGCACAACATGACACAATGGACTTCATCACTTCCATGAACACGTCAAGCGCATAGACCGTACATAATCATGGCGAAATCCAGATAAATCAAACCAGTTTGATGCACTAATAGCTGCAATCCACTGGAACGAAACAAATTTGAAGTCCCGGCTACACTGTATCTTTGGAACACATTACGCCAAAAACGATCCTGGATTGTTACAATGGAATTGGAAAGAGGAGTCAGTCAAGGAGGAACAGAGGTTTCTCAGAGACACAGTAATTAAACAGGAAGCAGGAGTGGAACCAGGCATGCAAAGTTACTCCGGTGAGTCTTTTAAGGGGTTGTAAGTGATTGGGAGATGGCTATTATTGGATGGTGTCTTCGTGAAACAGAGTATTATTGGGAGTGGTGAAGGAGAGCATATCTGTTGGACCCTGGCAC